CAGACCTAACAAAACACTGGCATGAATGCTACAGGGTAAGATGCTGTTCCTAGGATGACTCCAGTTCCCTCTGAAACACCTACACAAGAAAGCTTAACAGTATCAGGAGGTCAGGATGGCTGGATTTTTTTTTTTTCAGCGAATACTTTGACTTTCCTTCCTTGAAGAACTTATTAAAAAGGGCTTACTATTGTGAATATATATTTATCTTTTACAACTCAATAATCTCTCAAGAACCTGAGCACTGTTCCTTTGAAATACAGTCCTCTGGAAGCCTAAGGTCACCTCTCCCAGACTATATGAGGTTAGAATCCCTGAGTAACTGCTAGCCAACAGCCCCAGCTGACCTAATCGCACGTACACTGACTGATCTTTTGTAATTTTTCATTTCTCTGACACTACCGTACCCCTGCCCTGCCTTCTCCTTCTTCTGCCTTTAAAATGCCCAAATTACCTCTGCACAAATAGGAGTGAGCTCAATCAGTTCCTCTCCTGTCAGCAGTCACTGAATAGTATGTTTTCACCACTTTTCTTAGTGTCCAGTGGTGTTTGTCTTTGACAGTCATACGTGCTTAGGCAAATGAGCATACATCTATGACCAGGTAGAGCTCAGTTTCACAGTCTCCCCTTTAATGTGGCTTTATTGAGTTGGCTTGTTTTCCCACAGTAGCTGATGAAAACTGAGGACTTTTATCAGGAACAGAGCAATAAGGAAGAAGAGGTCCCCATAGAGAGTGGGGAAAGACTGTTTTGAGTATGCCAGGAGAGACTTCACGTAGGTAGAGAGCAGGCAGAGGCATCTGTGGGGAAGGAAGAAAAAAGAACTCAGAGTATAAAAGGTAGAAACATGGAAAATATAGAAAGTGACATAATTACTTCTTTCCCATTTCCACATATTTTTCTTTTTGCTCAACCCTGCTTTTTTCATCAAAAAGCACAAAAGAAAATGTCTCTGTATTGTACATTCTTTACCTTGAACCCAACCCCAACTTGCGGTTTTTTTGTTTTACTTCTTCTCTTCCCATGTTTCTGGCCTCCCAAAGTCTAAAAGGAGGAGGGCAACACATTGATCATTTAAATTTTTGAGTCATAATTTGGGCTGGGTTAGCAACTCGACTAATGTTTATTGAATGAACACCTCATGCGGAGCACTGTCTATGTTTTCCAGGGTTATATCACATTACCCTCCCGAAATTTCTATTCCAGTTAAGAGACGTTCAATAAACAAATCAGTTACAATGTAGCATAACTGAGGCAGAGAATAAAAAGGGTGTTATTTAATGTGGTGGTGGAAAAAAGCTTTACCGAGAAGCCAACAGTTGCGTAGCAACAGGAATGAAGATGTTCAAGAAATGTAGTAAGCCAAGAGGAACAGCATTCCAAGAAGTGAGAACAGCAACTGCAAAAGCAACTGCAAAAGGATAGGAACACATTATGTGGACAGCTGCAAGGAGCATACAACAATACCAGTGCTGAATCAGAGACCACAAAGGCCACAATAAGCACTGTGGAAATTTACCTGATCACGACAAGAAATCACTGAATATTCTAGAGCAGAGTATGACATACTTTTTCTTATAAAAATAATAATCATACTTATATAGCCTTTATTGGTGCCAATTCCTCTTCCAAACCTTTTACTTACATAAGCTCATTTAATTTGAAAGCAGAAGTAGAATAAAGATTTTACGATTCCCATTTTATAGAGGATGAAACTGAAGTAAAAAGAAGATAAATATCTTGACAATGTCAATGTGTTACAGCATTTGAACCTGGAGCCAGGCAGTCTGGCTTCAGAATCTTTGCCCTTAATTCCTAGCCTGTATTTATTCTGATTTTCATTTATAAGAATCTCTGACAGGTGCGAAATAAATGTGTTGGATAAAAGTTTAGGCAGGCTAACTATGGAAGGAAGAGAGGACAGTAACTTGGAATATGGTGCTTGTGGTAGAGAAGAGGATTATTGTCTGGGCTTGAGATGAGTTCTGGATTTATCTAAAACAGAAAGATTGGTCACGGATTGCATATGAGAGAAAGAGGAATCCATGATGACTAAGATCAACTGGGTAAAACATGGTATTTCTTACAAAGGTGGAGAAATGGAGAGGACATGGGTTGGTGAGGAACAGAGCTCAAGAGTCAAACGGGTAACTATATGAAGAAGCACTACAGTGTGTAAGTCCATCATCTGCATTTTCAGGTCATTATCATATAGACATTTTAGAAAGCTATGCATCTGGGTAAGATCCCTGAGGAAAGAAATATAACTACCCCGAAGTTGGAGTTCTGGGACATTCCTGCCTTCTGAGATTGTGAAGGGGTCAGGGATTCAGCAAAGGATCAAATAAGAATGAGTAGATGAAACAGAAGCCAAACAAGGAGGTAAGGAAGAAAGTGAAGAAGCAGTAGGTCAAATGTGCATAATGCAAACAGGTCGACTAAAATGCAGGCTGAAAACTGACCCTTGAGTTTGGCAAAGTGGAGGTCAACAGTGATCTTGGATATGAATGTTAGGGACAAAAGTGTGATTAGATAACGTTCAAAACCTAAGGACCTTTATAGTTTTAGGAAGGTGATTTAAGATATCTAAGAGGTAGAGAGCAGTAGCAGGGTGAAGAAGAAAATAATAATGCTGGGTCGGGGATTTAGCTCAGTGGTTTCGCCGCCTGCTGCGCAAGCACAAGGACCCGAGTTCGATCCCCAGTACCAAAAAAAAAAGAAAAAAGAAAATAATAATGCTTTTCCCAAATACTTCAATTATTGACAAAATATGTTACTGAGCGTCTCCTACATGCTCAACCCTCCTGGGCACTGAATAGCAATGAGTTTTCACCTTCTCTCATTCATGTATTCAAGAAGGGATCCATTCATCGAATACTTAGCAAGTGATGGCTATTTTAAAACATTTTTCTGAATTGTCACAGTCATGTTTTGATATTAAAACAAAATTTCTAAAGAAAAGACATGACTATCTCCATAATCTTGGCAAATTTTTCACATTCCTTTTCATTGCTGTCTACATGCCTTCATAACTTCTACTCAACTTTATTAATCACATTACAAATCTCTTGGTAGATATATTTTTATAATATGGTAATTATGACAGCAGACATAGCATTGCTCAAACTATTGTTTTCCTTGCCAACCATTCATGTAGCCTTCAAACTACACTGATTATTTATTTAATGGCGTTTACCTTTGTTAAACCATGAGTAGCTCCTCAAAGTCCCAAACTACATCTGGTTCAATTTTAAATTACCATCCTCTGCATGGTTTCTAGGTAGCACAAGAGATCGTATACTGAAGCATTTAAGAATATAAATGGTGACTGTCTGGGTTCTTATTTCACATTCTCCACTTGTAGGTTTGTACGTTGGACCATGTTATTTAACTTCTCTTCATCTCATCTATAAAGTGTAGATAATAGTAGTACGCCATAGGTTGTGAGGGTTAGGTGAATTAATATATTCAAAGTCCTTATGATTGTACTGCTGTTTTGTAGGCCCTACCCATACCCAAGTGCTTAGTAAGTGTACTACACATGAACAACAACAAAAACGGTTGGTGCCTAAAACGTATTTAATGGATGAATAAAATAAAAAGGAGTTTTATTCTTGGTTTATATGGGTAACAGTTTAAATGCTGTGGGGTTACTTCCTCTTTTGCATCTGTAACACTTTAGTGAGCATCTACTATTTGCTAAGTGTCCAGATTAAGGTGAAGAAGACAGAAGGTGATCCTTTGCGTGGTGCAGATCACACTGTCAGGTCACCTTGGTGAGTTTCCCTCCCTGGGCAGGCACAGAGACCCGCCGGCTCTAGCTCCACTTTTGTGCCCACTCACCCTGGACTATTTCTTCTTCTTCATCATCTTTTTGCTTCTCCTGAATGTCGAGATGTCAATTTTCTGAATAAATAAATTGATAAGATCCAGTTATTTGGAAGTGGGAGGAAAGTCAAGGAGAGGAGTCAGCCTGGCTGATTGCCTTGGTTAGCAAGTCTTGGGAATGAGAACAGGGCTTGAAGGGCCCTGCCAGTCAGGAAGAAATACCTCTGGAGCAGCGCCTGGAATCTCAGCTACACTGGCAGCTGAGGGAGGAGAATTGCAAGTTCCAGGTAGCCTGAGCAACTCAGCTCGAGCCCATCTCAAACTAAGCAATGAAAAGGGCTGGGAATGTAGGTCAGCGGTGGCCCGTGCTTGGGCTCCGAGGAGGAGGAAACTGCGGGGAAATGAAACTCCCAGTGGGCTAACAAAGCTAATAGAAGGCTCTCGGGTATGCAGTGGATTTGGGGAAAGTCATTATAAAGCTTCTCATTAGGATGGTAAGAATACCATCCAGTGTGACAAGGGCAGCTGAAGGCTTTCGTAGAAACCTGGACAATGAGATGAGTGAAAGAAAATCATTCTTCTGAGATAATTCGTTCCATGACCCATTCATTCATTCATTCATTCATTTATCCATTTATCCATCCATCCATCCATCCATCCCATATATACTGAGTGCCCACTTTGTGGCAGGTGTTGTGGTGGGCACCGGTCACATACCGAGCTCGGACAGTAAAGATCCAGTCCTGACCTCACTTCCAGCTCAGCCAGAGCTCTGGACGTGGCTCTGAGCCACGGCTTTTCAGCTTCTTTCTGTTGCGCTCTGTGCTGGGCACGCGGTGGGCGCTCCAATCGCGAACCCCGGATGGACTCGGGCCTCGCAGCCTGAGGGCTAAAGGCGGAGAGCGGGACACGGCTGCAGCCCCCACCCCGGGACCGCGACCTCGCAGTGCGCGCCCGCGTGCGCCCCAGGGCTGGCGGGGGCGGGCCCGCTGGGGCTGCGGGACGTGTGCTCCGCTCCCTGCGCTCGCACTGGCCCGGGCCCCCGAGGGGGGCACGCAGCCTCGCCTCCGCCCGCAGCGGCCGGCCGCAGCTCCTCCTCACGGCGGGCGGGCCCGCCACCGCGCCGCCCAGAGGCCGCCGCCTCGGGAAGCCCCGGGCACCCGGGGATCGCGAGCCCGGTCGGCGGGTGGAGCCTGATCCGTGAGCTCGCGGCCAATCGCGCGGCGCCGGGGGAGGAGCCCCGAAGGGGGAAAAAGAAAGTGCGGCGGAAAGTAAGAGGCTGGGAGGGGAGACAGCCTGGATCCAGGACTCTGGGGCGCGCCTCGGCCAGGGGCACGGAGTGGAGCAGCTTCCGGCGACCGTCCGCCTGTCCCGCCGCCTGGCTGCGCCCGATCGGCTTCCCCGGAAAGGTGAGTCTCGCGCCGCGGCGGGGGCTCGGCAGTCACCTAGCCCCAGCCGCAGGAACTCGGGCTCGATGGAGTCTCGGAAGTCTTCTCCTCCATCCCCCTGTTCTACAAAAGGGAAAACTGAGACGCCAGACCGGGCAGCGGCCAGGGTAGATCAGTCTAGTAGAGCGGTGGGCGGGATTCGAACCTGGCAGCCCGGACGCCGTCTTTGGTGTAGGGATTGAGTTACTCAGTCGTGGGACCGCTGCGCGCTGCCTGCCCTCCTTAGCCTTGGAGAGGTCTGCTCTCGTCTCCCTCCGCTTTGGTTTCCCGGGAGCGCTCCGTGAGCCCTGAGTAGGAGTCGGTGAGCCGCAGCCTGCGCGCTGGTGCCACCTCGCTCTCAGCCCCAGCTGTGACAGTGTGGGTACCGCTGCCAGCAGCCTCTCTCCAGCTTTTCCTGACCTGCTTTTTCCTAAAGATGCTCCTACCAAGGGTGTCCAACAGGCTCCTGGCCCAGTTGGAGAAGAGGCGAGGAACCTCTCTCTCTGGTGACCTCCTCTGGGAGCCACAGTTGTCTCCCAGCCCCAGAGGGAGCTGAGCTGTCGGCCCTGTGGGACCCTAGATGTCCTCATGCAGGAAGAGCTGGCTTCCGGGAGCTCCGTCGACCCTGTCCTCTTCCAAGTAGTGAGGGGAACCAAGGAAGCTGAGTTAAAGGCAAAATCAAAAACATACAAGCAAACTTATGTTGTCTCCTCTGAGAGCCAGTCTACCCTCCACCCCTGGGTTGCGAAATTGTGAATCTGGGCATCACAGGAAGCATTCGAGGCTCAGCCCTGCACATCCCACATCCGCGGGTTTGGTACCAGCTGGAAAAGGGGGACTTACCGGATTTACAACTCCGCTGTGTGTTAGCTGTGTGAGCTTGGGGAAGCCAGCCCACCTTTAAAGATACTTTCCCCCCATTCGCAAAGTGGAGATTCTCACGGTCACCGTGAATCTTGAGAGTCGTGAGTCTGAAATGGGAAAATGCAAATCGCATGTTCAGCGGAGAGCCCGGCCTGGCACCTGGTCAATTCAAAACAGATAGCACCATTGTGACTGTCGTTGGGTAGTGATCCTGGAGACATCGAGTTTGAGAAGGGTAGTTTTACTGCCTAGGACTGACCGTGTTTTATATCTGGAAAGGTGATGCTACTTTCTTCTTTGGAGTTGGAATAGTTTTTTATAGTAAGTTTTTTTTTTTTTCCTGACTGTTGTCCCCATGTGACTTGAGTAATAGATCCTTCATCTGGAATACCAAATTGATGCTTTTTAGTGATGAGAATTTCCTACTAGCTTTTCGGTCAAGGCTTAGGATTGAGATCTGCCCTGATCGTAGGTATTCTTTGTAGACAGAGAGGGTCTTGAGTTTGATGAGGAATCAAAAAGATAAGAGGAAGTTGGAAGTTGCAGCTACAATGTAGACTGCCAAGCCTCTTCCTCCTGCTGTCTCAGACCAATCAAGCAAGTCTATAGTTTTCAGCCAGTATCAGAAAACAGCAACAAAATTGGAATGCATTTCTCGGGAATTGTGCCAGGATGCTGCTGAATTCAGTCTCTTCTGGACTCTTAACTTGCTTTATTTAAGCACACACACAAACACACACACTGACACATGACATGTCTTTCTGTATTATTAGTCTTTTATAATTAAATAGCTCCCTTCATATATCCCTACCCTGCTCATGACAGTTAATTTTATTTTAATTCACACAGTTATTTGCTATTGTCTCCTGGCTATTTGAATCGAGTGCTTAGCATTTATAGTAGGCTGCCTCCTTCAGCATCCACAGCATTCAATTGCAGGATTGATGAGAAGGAGTGTGATGCCTTTTGAGGGAAGGTGAGAGTCTAGTGCCCACTTGGGTTCCTCCCACACCAGACATGGGCAGAGGATGGGATCACTTGTGTCCATCAGCTGGTTCCGTGTGCGTGCATTGTGATGAGCTGGCTGCGATACATCTGAATGAGTGCCTGTGGGACCAAGGACTTGTGGGGAAAAGGAAAATGTTCAGAATAAGGTCAGAACAAGGGGATGGAAGGGAGACTGATAGCAAATTCTTGTAGGTTCTTTGAAGAAAGCATGCCTAGTTATACCCTTCCTCCTTATACATACTATTATTTCTTGCAAAATTTTAAAGTGCATTCCACATGTTATTTTCCTTGCTACTTCCAATAGCCCTGGGAGAAGGACATGGCAGGCATATTAATAGTGAAAGGAGGCCATGTATTGTGATAAAACCTACTTGATTTCAAATTCCAGCTCCAGTACCTAAGTAGCTGGTTGATACTAAGCAATTCATTTCATTATTTAGAGCTTCTATTTTGTCCAATTCTCAAATGGAATAAACATATGTGCTTTAAGAATTTGTGTTATGATTAAATTCATGAACATAGTATCCAGTTCATGTAGTGAGTAGGTGTTCATTAAATGAAGCCTTTTCTTAGCTAGTCTCAATTGATTAAAAAGAAAATTGGAATGAGACCCAGAAATGGGCGGGTGCCAAGGGTCACATGGTTTGTAAATTTTAGCTCTAGGAATCTAGTTCACGCCTTTTGACTTCTAGATCGGAGATTTTCCCCGTCCCACTCTGCTGCCTCTTTGGTGAGATATTGAGCAATTTACTTCAGTTCTTAGGTTGATCTTACTTGGTTAGTGATATCAGGATATCTTTTTTGTTGTCCCAAAGTAGATTTTTCCTTGATAAGAGAACAACTCGTCAGCATGGCTCTTTGGAATGTAATGGAACCAATTCTCAGGAGATTTTAAAGTAATGATCTCTAAGGCAACCTTTTTATTCTCACCTGTTTAATGTGATACACCTTCAGTTTCTAGAAGGAAGGGCACTGTGAAGACATAAAGCTCAGTTTTATAATGTTTTTCTCCTTGTTCTGTGTGGTTTCTTCCCTCTGCCGTCTATAGTAGTTGGAAGACTGATATGAAGAGTGAGAAACAAAAATCATGAGTAGCCATAGCATTATTCAATGTTTTCATCAGCTCTAAGAGTAAGGGGTGGAGCACACACCCTTTTGCACAACAGTGTGCAAAAACAACATTTAAAAAACAAAAACACTACTTGCTGATAGTGCTGATCACTGGTCTGCAGATTCAGTCCTCACTGTGGAAAGTGATGGTTGTAAGCTTATGCATGAAGCTGAACAGATCTGCTGCCAGCACAGGACAGGCAGTGGGCCATTTATCCATGGTGGCTTTTCACAGGCTACCAGGTTTCTCCTCTTTGTGCAAGAAGACAGGCTTGAAAATACAGTTCTGGGAGAAATGTTATGTGCTTCACGTTTGACATTTGGAAACGTATGCTTGTTTTTGCTAAAAGGTAGGAAGGTAGCGTCATTTTACCTGGCATAATTATGAAAGCAGAATGTGGCTGGAGAAAATTAGAAGGAGAGGCAGCAGGGAAAAAAAAAGGTTATCTACAGTGTACACACAATTTCGTTTGTTGCTCAACTTCATCAGGCTTTTGGTGGTGACACAGATGTAGAATCTGGTGAGTCACCGTTGCTTTGCCTGTGAAATATTAGGGAGCCACCTACCATGCTCTTTACCCATTTTGGAAATTGTTCTGTGGGGGAAAAATATCACCAAAGAACAGGGAGGTCACAGAACATTTGGTATCTGACATTCTGGGAGGTAAATTCAGGTTAGCATTTCATGTGCTCATTTTCAAAAACTTAGAGTGCACAGTGTATGCTGACGAATGGCTAGGAGACTTCCCTTTAGACTGACTTTATTTTAACTCTCTGTATCAGCTGCAGCAGTGTGAGCCCTAGCGTGTGGCAGGTACCTGAGGCAAGCCCTTCAGTAGGGCTCCGCACATGGGAACTAGGGACACAGATGTCTACTTAGAAGCTTAAGACCTATTCTTGGGAGGCTGTAATAATCATTAATTCTTCTATCAGCAATTCCTTCAGTTTACTAGTCTGTTAAATTATGATCATCAGCATTTAGCAACTACCTATTGAGTTCCATTATTGTTTGTTCTGAGTATTTTACAGACACCCTCTCATTCATTTCTTGCAATAATCTCATCTCATTTGTGAAGGAAACCGAGGCTTATAAAAATTAAGTAGTACGACCCGTGTCATCTAGCACAAATCAAGAACTGACGCTGAGACTCACCTTTGCATTTCATTTTAGAGCTAGGAAGAAGCATAAGTTGTCCTGCCTCTGGAGTAGATCTGAGGACTTGGAGTAAGACTTCTGGTTCATCTCCTCCACATCTTGCCTTCTAATCCTGGTATAGCTTTGCCTGCGACTGACTTTTCTGTTTGGGGCCTAAAATATGAGAGACCTGAACCAGCTGATCTCTTGAGTTTCTTCTGCTACAGTGCATTGTGAATTTTTCTCTAGGATTCCTTTCAGCTCTGAAATTCTGCAATCATATTGCTTTGCAAAAGTCAAGGCTATAAAAGGTAAAGGGGCCTAAAGAGAAAATACCCTTGTCGTTTTATGCCCAGGAGATGGATTCCCCAGCCAAAGAGAAGGACAAGAGAAATCAGCATTCGCGGGTGCATGTGCACTTGTCATTACATTTAAGCACAAAAATAACTCTCGTATATATTATTGTCTGCCTTTTCCAGATGAAAGAACTGAGGTTCAGAAAGCTTACAGACTTGCTCAAGGTTACCCAATTAGTAAAGTATGTCCTTGAATGCAAAGCCTTTTGTTCTTATGTGTTGTTCCAGTATACTATATTGTTCCAGTATATCCAGTATTGTTTACTGGATACCAGATCATAGAATCTGAGGACCTGTATAACTAGACCCATTAATGCCCCTCTACCTACCTGTATCCTTATACTATGCCACCTAAATTGTTTCCTTTCTTGTTTTCCTCTTATCTTCCAGACATGAAGTTCATATCCCTTCTTGATCCTTCCCAGTTCATGAAATTCCCTTAAATGTTTATAATAGCATATCCATTTGATACATTTTATTTTTACTGTGCCTTTGTTCAGGTCCCGATT